CATCGAGAAGCTTATAAACGTCCAAAGTCTTAGGGTTAGTCAAAAATGGGATGTCTACAACTAAACTTACTTTTCATAGGAGTAAATTACTATAACTCTTATAATTCTAGAACTCGGTTAAAGCTTCAAAGTTTCCCTTACTAAAGGCAAGATTGTAATTGCATTTTTTGATTAATCAACTGCATTTCTTCCCAGTCTCTCCCTCCCATTTTGTTTCGAAGTCAAGTTAAATTGCATTGGTTCTTACTTTAGCACACTACAATAAAGTCCTCTTTATTGAGGCTAAAATAATCTCATCACAATCGTTTAATAAATTGGCTTATTAATATCTGTAAGGACTTTTCAGATCTTTACTGGCATGCTACAATTATGTTTCTATCCTTTGAAGTGTCAAAATAGCCAACATATATTTTTTTGCACGCCCAGTGGGACGTCAAGTGTAAGAAATGAAAAATGAATTGGATTTGTCCATTCCAAATAGCTTAGATGAAATCTTTTGGCATAAAAAAAAAAAAAAGATCTTCTAGAAGAGATCCATTTTCTTGATGAAACAAACTTTCATCCATTACAATATTATTGGTGGAAGAAAAAAGATACTATTTAATTAGAGAAACTCTGTAACTTGATATGGAAATTCACCAATGGAGAAACGAGTTTGTAACTCTCACTACCAAAGACTTTAACCGAGTCTTTAATGGCTAGAATTGGTGAGCGTTCTCAGATTTTTTTCCAAGTCATTAACAGTTGAAATTGGAAAAGAGTTGACTTGATCAATGGCTTGGGGGGTCAAAAAAACTCATTTGTAAAACCAACTTATGGAAGTTACATGGCTAAATAGCATGTTGTTGAGCCAAATACAGTTAAAAATGATGTTTCATATAAGGCTTGAAGGGTTGAAAAACCCATTATTAGATAGTTAGACCATGGAAACAACATATCTACGGAGGATTTTCATAAGCCATTATTGGCTAAAATAGAAAAATCAACCTATTAGGCCAAAAAAATGATGAAAATCAAGTGACCAAAGAACATGTTCTTAAGCCAAACATGGCTGAGAATGATGAACAACATAATGTTCATGAATTTGAATTTTTGGAGATTGTTCAAAATGTCAAGTTGTTTGAATTTTTAAGGCCATCTTGTGCCATGATTGTTGGTGTTCAAAATCCTTTTTGGATTTGTAGTTCACATCAAAATTTAATTTTGATGAAATGGTTAACAAAAAATAAAATTTCAAAAAATATATTCGCTAAAATTTTCTACAATGGAAAGCATGAAAAATGGCCAATCAAATAACAAAATTATGGCTATCTTCATGGTAACATGTTGTATGGTTGTTTTTGAGATTGGCCAAGGAAATTCAATGATTCATTACCTTCGAAACTTGATTGTACACCTTTGAAGCTTGATAATACACCTTCAAAACCTGGTTGCACATCTTCGAATTGGAGTTGTTTCCTTAGTGAAATATAGGATCCAATTCATTTACCAAATATTATTTTTTAAGTTTGGTGTGGGTTGTATATGGACTATATATATATATATTCTATATATGTAGGTGACCTTTGGAAACCCAATATATCATTTAATTAGCTTGATAGCAATTAACATAATTTGGAAAACCAGCTTACCAAATTTCAAGTAATAGAATTATTCTCATTGATTTTGTTGGAGGCATTAGCAACACTTGAAAGACTAAGAGCTCATCAATACCATGGCTCTATGTTTTCATTACATGGAGTGTGTACTCATGTACACTTGGAGTGGATACGTGTCTCTTTGTTTTACTAGTACTAGTAGCCTCGAAGAGATCTTTTATTTATTTACTACCAATTTCAAGGGATTGATTTGGTGCATCTCTACTGTGTCGAAGGTGTTTTACGGTTACTTTGAAGGTTCCTAGCACCATCAACATGGTCCATTATTTACTTCAAAGGTTCCTAACACCATTAGCATGGTCCATTATTTTGGTATCTTCTTCAATTCTACTTCGAAGGCTTCTTTCTCTGTCATTTGGTGAGATCCATTTCTCTTGTTATTATTGAAACTTACCCAAAGCCATTTACGAGACTTTTGTGCCTCGATTTATAATCTATTTGTAGAACTATTTAGTGATAATGGAATTGGACTTTGGTTTAGTGAATGTATTCATTTGACGGAACCACATAAACCACTGCAAGAAATAACACTTTTAGTGACCAAAAAAGTGATCGCAGAAACCTCATATCTAGTCGCTAATTATTTGTAGCAACCAAAAAAAGTTGGTCGCAATGTAGTCACTAAAAATCGATCACAGAAGGTTTTTGGTGACCAAAACTAAAGTTGGTTACAGAAAGTAGGCATTTGTGACCATAAATGTTGGTCGTGGAAAGTAATTCAATTTCTCGAAAGTAGTTCATTTTGCGACAAAAAATCTAGTCGCTAAAAGGTAACAATTGAGACCATCGATGTTAGTCACTGAAATGTGGTTTTTGGTGACCAAAATGAAAGTTGGTTGCGGAAAGTAGGAATTTGTGACCATATATGTTGGTCGTAGAAAGTATTTCAATTTCTTGAAAGTAGTTCATTTTGCGACGAAAAATCTAGTAGCTGAAAGGTAACAATTGCGACCACTGATGTTAGTCACTGAAATGTGGTTTTTGGTGACCAAAACTATCTTAGTCGTGAAAAGTCTAACACAACTACAAGCTTGTCAAGGACCTATTGCGACTAAAATTTTATTGGTTGCAAAAAAGCTTTCAATTTTAAACAACATTTTTGTCAATGTAATGTTATTTTTTTTTTTTTTGTAATACCTGTAATACATTTACATTTAATGCATAATTCATGTCCATCCACTTAATTTCAACATATCAATCCATCAACAATCCAATCTACAAAAAAAAAAAAAAAGGAAGTCAAAATAATAATTAATCCATCTAATTACTACCACATGTCAACATGAACACATTAATTTTTGACAAAATAACCATCTATCCATCATTTAGTTTACAAAATTACCATCCATCCATCGATTTACTTTACAAAATAACCATCCATTCATCCATTTAGTTTATAATGAATATTCACCAAATCAAAAACATATATGAGGAAATTATCAAAGATTTCAAAAATCATTCATATCCAAGTGTGTGTCATATTTGTCTAATGCGAAATATATCAAAAAGTCCACATATAAGCATAACTTAGAATTCATGCACCAGCAAACTGATCATGTCCATAAACATGCATGACTACACCTCTAGCTACCTGCAAGTTAAAAATAAATAAATAAATAAAAAATGAAGAAAGCGTGGTTAATAATAATATTTTTGCTTACACTTCTATTTAATTTTGTAAAATTATGTGGATCTAATTCCACTCCCAAACTAGCAATCACACAGAGCCTTTTGAACGTCATGATCACATCTTAACATATTGTATTAAGATGATGATTTTAAAATATTCAATTTCACTTAACATATATTAAGTTTCATTACCATGATACAAATTCATTAAAAATTTAAGGATTTGGATCCTGATTAGAAAATTAAAGATATCTTTAGTGGAACAAATATTAACAGTCAATTCAACAACATGCATAAAGGGAACAAGTGAAATTGGTTAGTTATAAAATAATACTATTTTAAAAGCACTAATATATGTAATAAAATTTAAAGTACTTACTCATCAAAAGAGTCATATCCACTATGATCACCCTGCATTTGTGTCATAAAGTGTTCGAACTGCTCAAAGCATCATTCATATGATTGAATTATCTCTTTCAGTGATGTTACCTCTTCTTTAAGGCCCTTAACCTCTTCAGCATGTGCTTGTGACCTAGCTGTAGACTTGAAATCAGAAGACGGCTTTGGACCAACCCCGAAACCTTTCAAATACCCTGGCCCCTTCCTAAGGACTTGAACATAAAATTGCTTTTGTATCATTGGGGTTGCTCCAGGCTGTGAAGCTTCCTCACGAAGTTGGTCCATCTTCTCCTATCAATTTTTTTTTTTTTATATTTTTAAAAAGGGTTAATTACATTTTACCCCTTGTAATTTTGTCAAAAAACACTTAAACTCCCTAAAGTTTAAAATTGTACACATAACCCTATTGCACTTTGGATTAAAATGCAAATCCTAACTCTCTTAAAGTCCTAACCAAGACAACAGGTTGAACTTTTGCAATTTTATTCATAATTCGAAGCTTCTTCATACTGCCTATATGTTATCCTGAACATGATTGTCTTGATACACAAAGTACATGTCCTATTCATAATCAATTTATGATTTATTATGTTATATTGGTGGATTGAGTGATGTGAGCCCATATATTAAGTGCATGTTATTGGAACAGTTTGTGTTGTCTTGGCAATTCATCACTAAACCTATTTTCTAGACAGGTTCATGTAAAGCTGTTGGGACTGGTTTGGTGGTTTGGAGGTGGCTGGAATGGGATCCCTTCCATGGATAATGTCTCTCTTGTTCTTCAAAGGAATAGACTATTAACTTGGTGGTGGCTGCAACATGCGCCCTACCATGTTATTGGTTGGAAAGTCTGTGTAATCTTAATTATTATGTGTAGATCTCTATTTCTATATTGGTGGTTAATTTGGTCTCTAGTATAAATACCTACTTCTACGGGTTGTGTAGGGGGTTATATATGTAGTTTTAATTACTATGTGTATATATTTTTATACTTTAGGTGGGTAAAGTGCTTTTGCGTAAAACCAGGAGGAGTTAAAGTGTAATTAATCCAAGAAAACAAAAAACAAGTAGTTAGGAATATGAACAACAAATATAGTGAAGGTATACTTACATATAACACCCCACAAAATCATTTTGATCATCATCATCATCACAGATAAAATCATCTCTGTTTGTAGCCTCTACGTATACACTTCTACCAGATTGCAGAACCACTTCACTGGGAATAATATCAGGTGCAATATCGGTCCTATATAAAGTGTTGCTAATGGAATCTATAATGGTGATTTGGACAATTACAGTGGTCTCATCCTACTAGAACACATCATTTGGAATAGGCAATTCATTATCATTGGGATCTACATCCTCAAGCTTCAGCACATTCCATATTCCTCGACATTGAAGTCGCTCTACGACTTTCCAATGTTCACCTAATTTGGTATCATTGACATAAAAAACTTGCTGCACTTGACTTGGCAAGACAAATGGGTTATTTTGATACCAACGACTTCTTACATTAATGGTTGTTAAATGTGTTTCAGTGCAAAATGTTCTGCAGCTACAACTATTAAACCATTTGCATTGAAACAACACAACTCGATGCCCGCACATGTATGCCATTTCCCAAACTTTAGTCAAGTGACCATAGAAATCAATTAACATACCCTGATGATCCCCTTGAATGGCCACATTGCTATTTTGACTTTCACGACAGTTGTCTCGATCTTTGGTATGGATTTGAATGCCATTACAAATACAGCCCGAATAAATATTCACTATTGGACTAGGACCATTAGCTAATGACCATAACTCATCAGTTGCTTCCGATGATCCTTCAGCTTGTAATTGATTTATCTACATGAACATGTGACTAGAATGTATGATGTTAATATCAATCTAGGAATAGTGAATTATGTTTATGATGTTTATTACATATTTATCTATATATCTTACCCCGCTCTTTGAACCACATAGGATATTCTTCTTGTTGCCATCTTGTAATATCATGTACATTTGCATTCTGTAATTGATTCTTGTGTTCTCTACTTCAAAAAAATGTGAATAATTAGTACTTAAGTACGACCATAATGAAAAAGTTATGCATATAGTAACTAAATTAGAACAATGAGAACATACTTTAGATATTTATCGATTTCAGGACTATTGTACAAGACAAACCATTGATCCACTTTTATTTCATTTTCAGACACGTTGAGTGCCCTTTGAGTTAGCCCAAAGTATGAATTTTTGTAAAAAAACTGAATACCCCATGCCAACATCACCAACATCTTCATTTCTTTCCTCTTTGTTAAATACGGTTTCAATCCCACCAAGATACATAGAGCAAAAAGTGAGGCATTCTTTGACAATGTAAGCTCTTACAATTGAACCTTCTGGGCCAGCTCGATTCGCTACATACCCTTTCAAAATCCTGAGTAATCTTCAACAAATAACATGAAATTACTATACAAACCACATATACGGTACTATAATATTAAAAAAATAATTTTACATAAGCGTATAATAATACCTTTCGATAGGGTATATCTATCGATATTGCACTGGCCCTCCAAGAATGGCTTAATGAGGCAAGTGAATATCTAAGTGGACCATGACATCAAAGAATGCAGGTGGAAATTTTTTTTCTAACTTGCAAAGTATGAGTACTATGCTTTCTTGTAATTTCTCCAAATCATTCACCCTTACTGTTTTCGAACATAACTCTTGAAAGTAATTTCCCAACTCAAACAATGCAATAGAAATGTCCTTGTTAAGATACCCACGCATCCTAATAGAAAGAAGTCATTGTACAAGGACATGACAATCATGACTTTTCAAACTGGATAAACTTGCTGCCCTTACTGCTTACACACCTAGAGATGTTTGCTACATATCCATCAGGATACCTAATTGATTTTAAGAATGCACAAAAACCTTGTCTTTCCTTTAGGGACAATGTGTACAATGCAAGGGGCTTTTCAAAGGAGCCATCCGCGCGCCTCTTTAAGTGAAAATATTTTCTAATTTTCATATTCTCTAAATCCATGCGTTCTTGTTCCGTGTCCTTGTTCTTTCCATCAATGCTTAACAAAATCCCAATCAAATTTTCACCTATGTTCATCTCTATGTGCATGACATCGAGGTTATGTTGTACCTTGAGTGTCTTCCAGTAAGGCAATTCGAAAAACATGCTTTTCTTTGTCCAATTCAGTGCTGTATTTTTATCCCCTTTTCTTTTCTCGTTGCTTGGATGCTTTCCAAATGGTTTAAATGTTCCTAAATCCAGTTGATCTAATATTTGTTCACCTGACAACTCCAAAGGTCTTGCTCGATCATCTGCCTTACCATTAAAGATCTTACTTTTTTGCCAAGAATGGTCTTCAGGCAAGTATCGGTGGGCAAAAATGTACCCTATCTTACTTCTTAACCATTGTGATGATACATTCTCATTACAATTGGGGCAAGCCAAATATCCTTTTGTACTCCACCTTGACAAGTTGCCATAAGCTGGAAAGTCATTAATAGTCCACATAACAATTGCATGCATTCGAAAACTTGCCCTAGTTGAGGTATCATACATAACTACACCATCTTCCCACAACTCCTTTAATTCGTCAATTAATGGCCTCAAGTAAATATCAATATCTCTCCCTAGTGCTTGCAGTCCAGGAATAGGCAATGACATTATGGAAAATGGTTGTTTCATATACTTCCACGGTGGCAGGTTATAAGGCATAACTACCACTGGCCACATACTATATGAGTTGCTCATATTTCCAAATGGGTTAAAACCATCGGTGGCCAACCCTAGCCTCACATTACGTGGTTCTTGGGCAAACACAATATGTTGCCTGTCAAAGTCCTTCCATGCCTCACCATCGGCTGGATGCCTTAATATGCCATCGTCAACATGTTTTTCTTTGTGCCATCTCATATCTATAGTTGTTTTTCTCCACATATATAATCTTTGCAACCTTGGTGTCAACGGGAAATGTCTCAAAATCTTATGAGGGATCATCTTACCTTTGCCATCATTCAGTTTGTATCTAGGTTCCTTACAAATCGGATAATTTTCTAAATTTGCATTTTCTTTCCAAAAAAGAGCACAATCATACTTACATGCATGAATAGGCACACATCCTAAACCCAAGTCATGCAAAAATTTCTTGGCTTCATAAAGGGTCCATGGAACCCTTTGATCACTTTCCAGTAAAACGTCTTTCAATACACCCAACAACATGTCAAAAGACTTATTGCTCCACTTGTTTAACACTTTCACATGAAGCATCTTAATGACAAACGATAACGAAGTAAACTTTTGACATCCAAAGTATAACGGACGCCGAGCATCCTCTGACAATTTATCAAAGTTCTGTGCATTCTCTCTTTGCTCATTATCATGCCACTCATCCTTTTCATCATCATCAAAAGTATTCGTCGTGCGACGGTCTTCTAACATAGCATACAGTTCATCTTCAAGGTCAAGGCATTCATTGGTTCTCCCTTCATCAATAGCACCTTCAACCCCATTGTCATTATTCCACACACAAGGTTGATTGACAGGACCAGTTTCCCCATGGTGCACCCAAGTCTTGTATGAAAGCGACATCTCTTTTCGGATCAAATGATATTCCACATCCTTAATGGTATGATGTTCAAAATTTAGGCAATCCATACACAGACAACGAATTCTATTATCTAGGCCAATATTTGTCATTTCAAAATTGGAGAAATAACTTAACCCCTTCTCTGTACTCCAAACTCAATCGATTTCTAATGGACATCCAACTCTTGTCCATATTTGGTCACCTATAAAGTGAAGATTATGTAAACCAAGAACCAATTAACTAAATATGAATTTTATTCCTATTTGTGAGGCCAATTTTGTTATACAGAAAAAAAGTTATTTATAGGCTTTATGCAAGCATAAAATCTCATGGACACCTAGTAAAAGCAAGAAGATACAAGTAGATAGAGAAAATAGATAGATGACAATAATAGAGAAGGAAAAAAATTAGACAGAAAAGAGTAGAGAAAACATAAATGAGAGAGAGAGAGAGAGAGAGAGAGTACAAGTTCTATGACTTCAACCTGAATTTTTTTCATCTTTTGAAGCCTAATTTTATTTTACTTTTTTGTTTTCAAAAGTTTTAAAAAATAGAAACAAAAATACCCTAATGTCATTCGTAAAGTCAAGCAAAGAAAAAATCAACTTTATTAAATTTGTCAAAAAAATTACCAATTTAGGAGTAGAATTTAAGAACCAAAAGGAGAGAATTGTCAGCTGCAAAACAAAACTTTTTATTATCGGCTAAAAATAGTATAACGAGAGGAAGGGTGAAGAAATGAAATAAAGAAAACTAAAAACTACAAGTACATATGCATGTATTATTGATATATATATATATATATATATGAGGAATTCAATAAGAGAAAGAAAAATAAAAACTAATGTTTAAATAATCTACAACACTTGACACCCCAAAACAAAATGATGCAATACAAGCAATAGAAGTTAAGATTTGTTGCAGGTATTCCAGCTACATATTCTTATTCATTGGGTTGTCTTTTATGTGTTTGGACCTTCAGGTCATGTTAAATGCAGTGGTGCTGTAGTTGAAAAGCAAGCAAGTTTGGACAAGGCTGAAATTGTGCCTTAACAAGGCATGGTTTATGTTTGGAACTTGTTTTTTTATTTTGGTTCATGCTGCCAGCAGCAATAGTAGTGCTCCTGCTGGTGTTTTGCTGGTGAGGTGTTGTTGTATTGAAGACCTATACCTAATCCCTTGTGGGTTGTGCATGGGACTGTTTCTTTTATTTATTTATTTATTCTATCTCTTTTGGTTAAGTATCTATGGGATTTAGATGGTCTACGGGCTGTGCTTGGGAAACTTTTTAGAACTTGTTCAATACCCCAATAGCCTTTGTATGTGGAGATTGAACAGGTTCACTGCCATTTTGGTGATGCATTGAGGTGATTGAACAAATTATGGAGATTCTTAATAGCTAATAATTGCAGACAAAGTACTAGATACAATGGCACATAAATTTAAACTAAATAATAATTAATGGAGCCAAAGTTAGAGCCAACTAAATAAATGCCGCCTGGAGTTTGAAAGGTTTAAGAAACAATAGAGGCAATCAAAGGATCACATATGCAAAGAATACAATAAAAATGGCACATTGGAAAAATTTGAGAAAATTAAGTGGATCGATCAAATTTGAATTGAAAATGAAGGGTATGATTTAAATTTAATTACTTTTATCATGGCCTCATTGGAATTCAAAATACACTAAATAAAAGCAAATTAGACTAAATAATAATTTTAAAAAAAAAAATACAAACACACTGTATTTCTTTACAGGCTAGTCAATAGCAGAGTTAAAACCAAATGAGAGCAGTAAATAATTCATTGTGCAACACACAGTAGTGCTGCTGTACACACAGCAGAGTTAAGTACCGTGTTATAATGAAATATTGTTTAGAACAATGTCTTATATTAATAATGTGCAACAAGTGACTTCCTTTCCTGACCTATAGAACAGAGTTTAAACCAAATGAGAGCAGTAAATAATTCATTATGGTAGTCACACAGTAGTGTTGCTGTACTAAAACCGAATTCTGAAGGTAAAGAATGGAAGATGAACATCAGGATTCTTATATATTATTGTAGTTTCTTTGGAGGCTATATTTAACACCACCATTTTTGTTTCTGTCAGTGACTCTCAATGAAAATTACCCAATCCATGTTTAAACTAAGTTACAAACACATGCTTATTATTAACAGATCAAACATTTCTTTGCTCTCTCAGCGATGCCTCAACCCCCAAGGCATCCCTTGTATATATGTAAGACAAAGTAGTATTGTGAATTCAGTAGAGGAAGAAGTTGAGGAAGAAAATTTTACAGAATATAAATATAGATAGGCTCACAGATAAAATGATGGTTGGTAAAATGGTACCCAAAAAAAAAAATAGATAGTAAAATTGCTTGTCCATGACAACTGCTGTTAGATAGCCACCAACACAACACATAAACCCAATAAGCAAAAAAAAAAAAGAAAAAGGGTAGATTAAAACAAATGGGTTAAAACGAAACATTGAATCTCAAAAAAATTAGGAACAATCAATATAGATCAAGCACAAGCCCTTGATTATCAACTAACAATATTATGTAATAACGCATATATATTCAAACAAATGAATTGAAAACAAGGGATCACTGTAAAATTGCACATAAACCCTCCATTATTAACAAAAAATCACACAGGAATTCCAGATATAAAGAGATGGGTAGCAAAGATTATACAGAAGCAAGCAATCGGATCAACACGATCGATGAAAGATAAGAGCGGAAGTCCAAGAACAACACATGTAACCCCTGTTTCTCTCTCTAGGCTTCGAAGGAACGGAGTAGAGAAGAGAGAGAGAGAGAGAGAGAGAGAGAGAGAGAGAGAGAGAGTAACCTGGTAAGCAGAAGTGGCGGAGCAAAGATGAAGAGGCAACAAAACATCGAATGCACTGAATGGAATGGAGATGGTGGCTAGGGTTTCGTTACGGATTGGGAGTGTAGAGAGTGAGGAGATACAACTAGGCAATTGTAGACTCGACTTTCTTCGCGCCCCCCTTTCGAAGAGCTTGAATTGGTCCTATGTTCGGACTCCTGTGACGGTTCTGAATCTAGTTTCATAAGTGCAATATGAAAATGATAAACACCAAAGAGTCCAATCCGTCAAATCTTTTTGGAAAATCAGATTTTGAATCAAATAATGCCAAAACTGGACTGCTTTGCTAGATTATAGAGTCGCCACCTACATATTTTGTTTTGGGAAATTTAAGAAAACCTAACTCGTGCCAAAGGCCACGTGTCCATCATCACCAAAGTTGCCTCGGCTCGGGAACTTGGGTACGAGAGGGGAAGGTCCTGGAATGAGCACCCCCACTTGCCCGATCAAAGATCAGCCTTTACTAAACATGATATGTTGTTTGATATACACATGTGTTCTTATTCCAGTTATTTAGCTAACCTTACTATGTGACGTACACACAATCAAATATAGACTAAGTCGCAAGACTTGGAACAAATCAACTCATGTTTGTTTTCAAAATTGGTTTGAAATTGCCACCCTAAAGTGGGCTAAAACGCAGATTTACCACCTCAAGTGGGCTTAAAACATGATTTGCCACTTCACAAAGTGGGCTTAAAACTCACTATCATCGAATTGTTCCAATTTAAGAAACAAAGCCTTCATCCATAGGCATTCATGCAGTTAATCATTTAAGCAAATAGCCTCATAGCAAGCATGCGAAACATGACAACACTCACACTCATGCAAGTATGCTAAAGCGTAAAACTTACAGTGTACTCCAAGCCAAAACAAAAGCTAGTTAGAAACAATGCATGATCCTAACTATGCTTAGATGCCTAATGCAACACACTCAATAATGCAACTAAATAGGCTCGGCTACCTAATCATGGTATTTGGAAAACTTTGATAGCATGCTTTGAAAACACGTATTCAAATAAGTATTGAAATACAATGCAGTTTGAATGATGCGTTGAGCCTCGGTGCATGCAAGACAAGTGAATGACGCAAACATGGAAGCATAAGGTATGCTATTCGAAATATGACCCTAAACTAACCATCGAAAGCGGATAAATAAAAGGAAGAAAGACGTGGGGTTGGAAGACATGCACACACGCACGCACACTTATTACAACATTGTGCCCTCATGAAGAAGGGTCCGCATGAATAAGCTAAGCTACACTAAGCTAAGCTAATTATTACAAAACGAACTAATTAACTATTCTAGCTAATTAATTACAACAATTGAAATAAATTAACTAACTATTCTAAGCTAGCTAAAATATTACAAACCAAATTAAGCTTCATAATTACAACACTTGAATTGAACAATTAGCTACGCTAACTAACTAGAGCAATTTAAATAAAGCAAGTAAAAGGCCTCGGAGGTGAGGGAGACATGTATGCTCGGTTGGCTTTTTCCCAAAAAACCATCGCCTTGCCATCGGTTGCCTTTGTTTGAATTTGCTGTGATCTCTGAACATCGTACCAACTTCCAGAATGCCTCTGCTCCAACATAGGAACACATTTGCACAAAAATTGACTGGTGGTCGGTCGGTCACAAAAAGTGGCTGTCGGCCACCTTAACTGGCCGGTCGGCTAGTTTAAGTGGCTGGTTGGCTACTTCAGGTGGCCGGTCGGCCACTCTTTTTTCCAGACTTCTGTTTTTGCTGCAATATAGAGCAACAGAGGCAAAGTAATGCAATTTTTAAGAAATGTGTGTGCTGCCACCCTCCTTAACATTTCTCAAGTTCAAAGGAGTGTAGTACTTGGCTCTCATGCCACCAATCAAGCATTTTCAATGCATGATGGCCAAAGAGTCAAGCTTGTACAAGCTTAATGAATGCACAAATAAGACTCAAAGAACCACCACCCTATCATGCATGATCAAGGGCGACGATGACCAAGAAACGTGACACGTTTCATTACTTTGAGTATGAAACGTCCCACATTTCTTGTGTTTGGATTAACATCTGATCCAAACACATGCAATGCAACACAACATGCTTAACTTGCTCAAGTT